GAGGTGCTAGTTTCAAATCCTTTTTAGTCTGAAATCTGTATGCTAGATATTGAGTAAGGTGGTTTTATTGTTTTTTGTCACTTTGAATAATATTTCTGTTCATGTTAAAAACAAAATCAACTCTCTGTATAAATATATCAGGTGACCGTTAAGGCCCATGGGCCTCTTGTTAATATTGCGTATCAGCTTGATTATTCAAAATACAAATGAAAGGCATTGTCACATATTATGTTACAAATCAATGTCATTTATTATGTCTCATCTTCGAATGAAGGGACACATATTGTATTAATACTAGTTATTCTGGTTCTTCTAATCTGAACGTTTCAGGGTGGTCACTTCTAAACATTTAAAGATATCTTGATGAAACTTGCAGTATAGTATACCTGCATCACCAATAGATAATATGCAATGCACTGTCATTAGGTCATTTTGACATTGACCCGGAATTTCTTGTCCGGGCTGTAACAATTAGACCGTTAAAGATATCTTAATTAAACTTGAAGAATAACTGAATCACTTACGGATGACGTGCAATGTAGTGATAGGGTCACTGTAGCCTTTACCTCAAGGTACATTTAAAGGTTGACGCTAAGACCAACGGTCCCTCATCGTGTCTTATGTTGCTTAAACTTAATATGTAATCTGTAATAGTCCCCATTGGAACTGGAACTTGTTCATATATGGATTTTATAATTTAGCAGTAGGCAGTTCCTCTAAGTATGACGTTAAAGATATCCTTATAAAACCCACAGATAGTGTACAGTGCACTGTTTTTGTTAGGTCACTGTGACCTCGACCTCGAGGTCAAAGGTCATATAAGTGCAAAATGTTCAAGAATACCTTGTTCAGGCGGGTAACTTTTAGACCGTTAAAGGGGAGATATACGTTAAAATAACAAATATCTAATTTAATAGTTAACGTGTAACAATACCCCTCTTCCTTGTGTAGGACAGATTAAATCCTTGTCCTGGTGCCGTGTCGTTCGTCCAAAACATGAGAACAACGGTGGTGCCGGACGTAGTGATGACTTGCGGTTCTTCCTGTCCGGATAACGTTGCTAACACAGGGTCTACCTCAGAATCACCTATTGATTGACATACATTAAAATATATTATATAGAACTGTTCAAACGAACAATAATAAAAACATTCACGAAGATTCCAAAGACAACTCAATTTTGTATAAATTGCATATGGAGGCAGATGGCGGAGCCCAATAAAGATAATTGGAGGTAAATCAATCAATCCTTCAACTTCCATATAGATTAGGGGATATTATTGCGACCCTTTAACCTAATATAAAGTTAGTAGGCATGAAGAGAAGAAAAACATTTATGCTACCAGGATTGTCTCTAAGGTCCACAAACATTCCTGGAGACTACCTCCCAGGGTCTTAAGATGGAAACAGTTGAGATTCCCATGCAATAACAATATACAAAATTGCTGGATATGAAGAATTCATTTGTGTTCCAAACATATCTAATCCTTCATCAAGCTTGTATTTCTTGGACTCCTTTGTTAAACTGGTGGGGTACTCGACAGGTGTTAAATTGAAAATAAAATACCCGGTGAGTTATTCAAGCCTGTGCCTCGTGGTATGCTTAGAGTTGGGGAAAAAATACTGTATACCTGAGTATAATTTTCGCTGCGGTTTAATTTTCGGCTATTTTTAACCTCCGAATATAGGGCGTAAGAATTGTACCTGCTGTCCCCAATTTCAGCATCGTAAGAGGCGACTAAATTTGGGACCTTATCTCTTCTCTCCTTTCTAAATAACTTTCTTCTTCCTAATGTCTCCCTTGACAATGCCTCCCTTTTAGCTATTTGTTGAGCGTTCGCCCCTGTGAGGAAGGCTTTGGGTTCTGTCCCCTGGCCAAGACATACCAAAGTCTTTACAAATGGTAGTTTCTACTCCTGCTTACCGGTCAGCAAATTAGGAGTGTGACGACTGGTTCGCCCGTTGTCAGTATACACACGTACACTACACGCATGCATCTTGCACGCAGGAGAGGCCGTCCTTAAATGACCTTAGCTGTTTATAGGACGTTAAACAAAATAAAACCTAACCAAAAACCTCCGAAATGAGGGCATATTTATCATAACAGAGAATATTTGTAGGCAGCATAGTTAACACAGTAATTCAATGTGAAGGGCGAATTCAATATTGGGCGATAGGTTTTAAGTATGTCCTACCAACCACCAGCCGAAAAAAAGAGTAGAGAAGCAAGAACAGAAGAAATAGAGATCCCAAGTTTTGAAATGAGGGCAGCAGGTATTTTGGTCTCTCCAACGTCCCCTAAGCAACCACACAGAAGAAACCCCTAACACTGCAGGGGGTTCCACATAAGTCGCTTCGTACGATAGCATGCATTTTTATACAACAGACCCATTCTTTCCCCGAACTTGCAGGGCGAAGTGTTAAGTGTTTGTTATCGCTTTAAAGAATGAAAGGAGTGTTTAATTTAAAAGATTTCAAAGAAATAAATGATAAACATTACCGTCATAGATTATGAGTTCATCGTCGCTGCCCCCTAAAGACATGGTGTGAATAGTGATCTGTATGACGTTATTGTTGCATTTGTCATCGGATATTACCGTCCACTTACAATTCAATAGCCTGAAATATATTCAACAAAATTGTGGTGTCATGTATAACTTATTTTATTCGCATCTTTATAACAGACAACACATCTCGATGTCATTTCGTTAGCTCGCTTGGCCATAAGGAGGACATGGCGCAGCGTCCGTCATCCGTCAACTGTTTCCTTAAAGCGCTACTTATACTCAGCGGCTTAGAGGATTTTGATCAAAGGGTTCTCATTTTTTTTGAAAAGAAAAGGGGCGGGGCCAAAAAGGGGAAAATAGGTCAATCTTCTACTTAACCAATGGAAGGACTTTTACCAAATTTGTTCTAGAGCATTGTATTGTACGAAGGGGCCTCAGGTTTGTATAAACGGGGGGTTTAAACCAAATGTAGTCTAAAGCATGCTAAGGGAAAGAAGTGTTAAGTAGAATTAGAAAAAGAATTGTCACCAAGAAATAAATCTAAAACAACGTAAAGCTAGCTCTGCATTTAGATTGGAAATTACGTACCGAAAGCAGTATGTTATCTGTCGATGTTACTATTGTTAATACGTTTCTTTTTTTATAGATATCATTTCTCTTTTTTCCTTATAAGGTCACCTGAGCTTTAGCTCAAGTGACCTATTGCTATCCGTCTTCGTCCGTCGTCGTCCGTCGTCCGTCTTGCGTCTTGCGTCGTCCGTTAACATTTTACATTTTCAAAAGCTGAAATACCGGCAAAGGGATTTCATTTATATTTCATATTCTCCCTGACCAAGTGTTGTTATTTTTCCGGTCGACAAGAAATCCAATATGGCCGCCACTTTGAAAAACTATTTCAAACTTAACGTCAAGTTCTGCTAGGCCGATTGAACTGAAACTTTTTAGGAATGACCGACTCATGGTCCTGACAAAGTGTTGTTATTTTCCGGGTCAATCACAAACCCAATATGGCCGCCACGGCCGCCATTTTTAAAAACTATTTCAAACTTAAAGTCAAGTTCTGCTGGGCCGATTGAACTGAAACTTGGTAGGAATGACCTACTCCTGGTCCTGACAAAGTGTTGTTATTTTCCGGGTCAATCACAAATCCAATATGGCCGCCACGGCCGCCATTTTTAAAAACTATTTCACACTTAAAGTCAAGTTCTGCTGGGCCGATTGAACTGAAACTTGGTAGGAATGACCTACTCCTGGTCCTGACAAAGTGTTGTTATTTTGCGGGTCTATCAGAAATTCAATATGGCTGACACGGCCGCCGTTTTGAAAAACTATTTAAAGCTTAAAGTCAAGTTCTGCTAGGTCGATTGAACTGAAACTTTGTAGGAATGATCGACTCATGGTCCTGACAAAGTGTTGTTATTTTTCGGGTCGATCAGAAGATCCAATATGGCCGCCACGGCCACCATTTTGAAAGACTATTTCAAGCTTGAAGTCAAGTTCTAATGGGTCGATTAAACTGAAACTTTGTTGGAATGATCGACTCATGGTCCTGACAAAGTGTTGTTATTTTGCGGGTCTATCAGAAATTCAATATGGCTGACACGGCCGCCGTTTTGAAAAACTATTTAAAGCTTAAAGTCAAGTTCTGCTAGGTCGATTGAACTGAAACTTTGTAGGAATGATCGACTCATGGTCCTTACAAAGTTTTGTTATTTTTCGGGTCGATCAGAAATACAATTTGGCTGCCATGGCCACTATTTTGAAAATACCTATTTCATACTTAAAAACAAGTTATAAAAGGCCGATCTAACTGAATATCGGTCTAGGAAAGATCAGCTCATGGTCCTGACAAACTTAAGTTAACGTTATACTTAACATTTTTTTACTCAAATTGGTACATATTTCAACAACAAAAATAAATACTGTAGGACTCAGGTGACCGTTAAGGCCCATGGGCCTCTTGTTAAAGTTCCAACTTAACTCTTAACCTACTTGTCGTATTCTCTTGGGTATCCTGGAGATGTGATGAAGTTAGATTCCTGGTACGCAATTAATATTTCTTCCCCACAAGTATCAGATACGGAGTTTTCGATAATGGCGTTGTCAGTGTTTGAAGGAAATCGGCCTGCAACAGAAAAGATTAACAGATAATCTGCAAAACATAGCGTCTTATCCATTATTTTTCAGGATGAATTGATTTGCATGCACCAGGTTTCAACACATATTTTACTCTTGAACTATTATTTCATGTAAGCAACACCAAGGTTAACTTGTTGCAAAGCTACGTTTCTATTTAACTAGTTGGTTGAAGAGGACAAGGATTTCAATCCCCTGGCCGGGACATACTAGAGTCCTTGAAAATTGTAGTTGCTATGCTATTCCCTGCTTAAAGTTCATTATTAAGGGGAATGGCAACACCTGGTTCAGCCGTTATCAGTATAATGTGACCGGATGGAATGTTGTGCTGGGTGCGGTGCCTGCGGTATGGTATTTCGGTGAGGTAGCACTATAAAGTCGGCATCATATCCGTGCTATCACATGGGGTCAAGTACACCAACATACCCTGTCCAGCACACATCACACATAAGGCAGTTGTTTAAATGGCTTTAGCTGTTAAAAGGACGTTAAACAAAATAAAACCAAACCAAACCTTGTCATTCACGCTAATGTAAAAGTCGGAATTTTAGGAGTGTCGAAATGCTTGCAATTTTCTCGTCCAGTAAGTAAGCGTGTACATATTCACACAGACATATCTATATAAGGTGATAGAGAGGTGGAATATATCGATTTTAGAACTAATGCTAACGCAAAAATGTCCACATCGCGATCCATTAAAAGGGTCACAATGCGAACATTTTCAGACGCGCAAATTGTCTCTTTTACAGTATTTGAGGACCAAAATACAGCAGGTCTATTCTTGATTTCTTTAATGTGTCCTTAACAAAAGACTTGTATTAAACCACCCCCGGTTCTGCAGGGGGAGGACAGTGCAGGTACGGAGAAAGTACAGACCTGTATCCCACTACGTGTCCTAGGAAGCTAATAATGCGGAGCCCTGTTGAATTTAGAGCTTCTACTTGGAGACCATCAAAGAAACATTGCAACACTTAAGATTTGTCTTTTTATTTCTCTCTATTCTACTCGTTCCTTCCGGTGGTGCCTACGAAGGTAGCTGTCTTCATATTACCTTAGCACGTTAAACCCCTAAAAAACATACACAAACATACACAGTATCTTGCATTTTGATTATACAATTGTTTTAAATATATGTTGGAGTACAGAAAAGTATAAGAAGTGATTTTTCTACTTTATTTTCATATAGAAGTTGTCACCCTTGTCTGGTCAAACTATTATTATTGACCATCTTTTTTTTCCATTTCAAAGCATCTTTGAATGATATAAGATAATCGCGTTGGGTATAATTTATGTTCGCCTACCTGTTCTTTCTATTTCGACTCTTTGTCAGTATAGCATTTGAAGTGGAAAATATATACTACGCACCAAGAATAAGAAATGTTGGACACCCTCAACAAATAATTATTTCCACACATCTTTGAGGAATTTCGCATCAGAACTGTTTTCTGTTTTACAGTCAATGAGGTTTTGTGATAATTTACTATTCCTAATAACTGTGAAATCAAATATAGTCACGGGGTTCATGTTTCGTGGTTTCACCAAAAAGCACAATATCGTGGGTTTATGAATTCGTGGATTACATGTGCCAGTTCATACAAAGAATGGCTTTATGTCAAACCTGTAATTATTCCGTGAACCTACGAATTCGTAAACGAAGAATGTTCACGAAATCAGCTAAACTAAAAACCCAAGAAAATTAGTGATTTCCCAGTAGTGCGAACTGTGAGAAACTACAACTTTGCCAAGGAAAGAAATAATATTCCATAATCTGATCACAAAACTTGTTAAAAAACGACAGGCATTTTTTCCTTCTTCTAAAATGGGTTTCCGGATCAGCTTACCGATTGGAGTATTACGGTAACGCAGACTGAAGATCCTGTGGTAATTATCATATTTGAACAGTAAGACTAGGGTAAGGAATCTCCCGGATGATCGTTTGGACGGCAAATTATGAACGCGATAAAATCTGCTGCCCTGCAACGGTATTACCGGGTATTTCGAAGAAGGTCCTGAAACAGCGAACAGAGAAGTCAACATGATCGGTAAGATAAACAGCAAAACATACAATATAATGCACATTGTTCGGATAACATGACCAGGTACAGTAATGGTTGCCTTCGGCATTATATTTCAGTGAGGTAACACTTTAAAGTCGGCATTTCCTCCGCTCTATAACAAGGAGGCAGTTACAGCAACATACATGTACACACCCTGGCATACATGGAGACACGACCTTAAATGATCTTAGCCGTTAATAGGAGGTCAAAGCTGATAAAACCAAACCAACATTATATACATCACTTCTCTTTATATTGTCATCATTTTGTTCATTTGCAAAGAATTGAAATGAAATAATGACTTTTATGAAAATAGAAAATGAAACGACTGAAAATATTTCGAGGTTTAACAGTATAAATATATTATCATCGATATTCAAATATAATATAAACGACGCCCGCTTATGAACTAGACCTTTTTAACACGTTGTACACACTAACAAAACCAATAAATTTCAGTAATACATTACCATCATAGATCGTCAACGAGCCAGCACTTATAAAAAATGGTAATATTTCAACTTCGACTCCACTGTCGCCGCTACAGATACCACTTTCGATTACCAAAGTGCAGTTCTGGTTTGGGCTAAAATAAACAAAAAGACATGTTATCAATATGCATTTCGGTCCAGGGTAATCGCTTCGGTCAAGATTAAAGCTCGATGACACACAGTTTTGGTGGTATTTCATGAAGTAAATAAACCCTATCCATATATCCTCCAATCGAGCCGCATTACAATGGATTTTTTTTTTTGATAACGAAGTTGCCACTTAGAGAAACGCCGTATATGGACTCTATTATTTAACATTTAAATAGCATAGCGTGGAAGGTAATCGGAGAAAATCGGAGAAAAACGTGTTCATAACGAAACTTTGATTTACATGGGAGGTGTCGTCGATGCATCAGAAGACGATTTCTATGCTGGAACAGATGGTCATATGTTTTCGTTTGTTTTAAACTCACCTGGCCCAAAGAGCCTAGTGAGCGAATGCTGTGGCCCGGCGTCAAGATTTTACTTAACTAATTTCTTAATAACAAAAAGACATAGGGTGAGATGAAACGCTACCAAGATTGTTTAAAAAAAAATGGCCATCCATATTCAAGGTCACATGGGTCACATATGTTGAAATTTTTAAACGACCTCTTCTGATTAACCAAAATGATCAGGGCGATGCTATTTATCCAGTGGTATGCTGGGATCAAAGGGTTACAAAGTGTAGTCAAATTAATTACCTTCACCCATAATTAAGGTCACAGGGGTAAAATATAATGAAATCTTTAAACGACATCTCCTGAATAATCAAAATGATCGGTGTGATGATATTTGGCCAGTAGCATGCTGGGATGAAGGGCTATCAGGTTTGTACAAATAAATTACCTTCAACTATACTCAATGTCACAAGGGTCAAATTTATTGAAATTTTAAACAACTTCTGAATAACCAAAAGGTCCAGGGTGAAAATATTAAGCTAGTAACATTCAGGCATGAGGGGCTACAAAGCTTGACCTTCACCAATATTCAAGGTCACAGGGGTCAAATATGTTCAAATATTTAAACTTTTTCAAAATAACACAAAATGCAAAAGATATCTGACCAATAGCACGCTCACATGAAGAGCTATCAGGTTTCCATGTGAATGACCTTGACACACTTTCAAGGTTACATTTTGTCATGTGTGCCTAAATCTTAAATAGTCATCTTCTCAATTAACAAAAGGCATAGGTTGTTTGCATTTTGCCAGTTGCATTCTGGGATGCAGGGCTATACAATTGTTTACCTTAAAGACCGAAGTTTTACTCCCATGGGAGTAAAATTTGGGAGTGTTAGATTATAAACACAGGATGGGGGCCCCCCGAAGGCCTTATTGCTACTGATAAAAGCCACACCTGTTATGTAAGATTAGCCTCGGGTCATAGCTGTTGCGGTCAGACTGCTGTCTACTCACACAATGAAAACCGACTTTGTAAATAAAATTAACACTAAGGCAAAACTGATTTAATAATTAAACTCACATGTAGCATTATAACTGTAATACCAGTAATATTTACTGAACTGTGCATTTAAATATAGTATAGGAATAGATATATATATATTGAAATCATAGGAGATTTTGTTTTAAAACGAAACTATATATATGCGAATTCTTGAAATAAAAAGAAGAGAAAAAAATCAAGAAATGAGAAGTATTGGAGTAAATACCAAAACATCCTATGCATTTTTTCATAATATCTAGAAACGTCTATATACATCGCACATGGCAAACACAACAGCTTTCCAATCAGTAGCATCAACTCATAGCTCAAAAAACTGCCACGAAATAATAATGCCCCTTAAAAAGGTAAAACAAAATGTCATATACATACCGTGTTGATCAATGTCAATATGTAAATATATCGTCCAAACAATGGGGTCTCATACTTGTTTATGATTGGTGTTTTGTGAACTTGGTAAGGTTTTTTTATCCAGGTCAATTTACAAATAAAAACTTCATTTGAGTATTCCATATATTCCACGTGTACACAAATGTTCCCTTCTTGTACACTTTTTTGCCTTTGTGGTGTCTAGGTCCAATGTTAGGCACAAGCTGGGCCTCTGGTGGATTCCAAATACTGCTGTAGGGCCTATCTACATTTTCATTCCAGTGACGGACACCCATACGACTTCTCCGGATATATTTTCATTCCTGAATGCAATTCGTTTGTCTTGAAAAAGGTTCAAATCATTGTTGAATGACTCAACGTAGAATGTGTCCATGGCCATGATGTAGTCTTCTGGGTTCTGGTATATTGCACTTTTCTGGATTGCGTTGCGCAGAAAAAGCCTTTGGGTCCTGGATGATCATTTTTGATTGCTGGTGGTTGGGGTATGTCCTACAGTTTTATTTTTCTGAGCAACCAGTGTGCACATTTTGATATTGTTCAGACTTTGTTGGTGTTTTTGAGCATTTCCCTCACATTCTCTGATGCAATAATGCACATGAGTTCTTTCTTATTGATGACACTTTGTCAGAGAGTTGTGGGTGCAACATACATGTACACACCCTGGCATACATGGAGACACGACCTTAAATGATCTTAGCCGTTAATAGGAGGTCAAAGCTGATAAAACCAAACCAACATTATATACATCACTTCTCTTTATATTGTCATCATTTTGTTCATTTGCAAAGAATTGAAATGAAATAATGACTTTTATGAAGATAGAAAATGAAACGACTGAAAATATTTCGAGGTTTAACAGTATAAATATATTATCATCGATATTCAAATATAATATAAACGACGCCCGCTTATGAACTAGACCTTTTTAACACGTTGTACACACTAACAAAACCAATAAATTTCAGTAATACATTACCATCATAGATCGTCAACGAGCCAGCACTTATAAAAAATGGTAATATTTCAACTTCGACTCCACTGTCGCCGCTACAGATACCACTTTCGATTACCAAAGTGCAGTTCTGGTTTGGGCTAAAATAAACAAAAAGACATGTTATCAATATGCATTTCGGTCCAGGGTAATCGCTTCGGTCAAGATTAAAGCTCGATGACACACAGTTTTGGTGGTATTTCATGAAGTAAATAAACCCTATCCATATATCCTCCAATCGAGCCGCATTACAATGGATTTTTTTTTTTGATAACGAAGTTGCCACTTAGAGAAACGCCGTATATGGACTCTATTATTTAACATTTAAATAGCATAGCGTGGAAGGTAATCGGAGAAAATCGGAGAAAAACGTGTTCATAACGAAACTTTGATTTACATGGGAGGTGTCGTCGATGCATCAGAAGACGATTTCTATGCTGGAACAGATGGTCATATGTTTTCGTTTGTTTTAAACTCACCTGGCCCAAAGAGCCTAGTGAGCGAATGCTGTGGCCCGGCGTCAAGATTTTACTTAACTAATTTCTTAATAACAAAAAGACATAGGGTGAGATGAAACGCTACCAAGATTGTTTAAAAAAAAATGGCCATCCATATTCAAGGTCACATGGGTCACATATGTTGAAATTTTTAAACGACCTCTTCTGATTAACCAAAATGATCAGGGCGATGCTATTTATCCAGTGGTATGCTGGGATCAAAGGGTTACAAAGTGTAGTCAAATTAATTACCTTCACCCATAATTAAGGTCACAGGGGTAAAATATAATGAAATCTTTAAACGACATCTCCTGAATAATCAAAATGATCGGTGTGATGATATTTGGCCAGTAGCATGCTGGGATGAAGGGCTATCAGGTTTGTACAAATAAATTACCTTCAACTATACTCAATGTCACAAGGGTCAAATTTATTGAAATTTTAAACAACTTCTGAATAACCAAAAGGTCCAGGGTGAAAATATTAAGCTAGTAACATTCAGGCATGAGGGGCTACAAAGCTTGACCTTCACCAATATTCAAGGTCACAGGGGTCAAATATGTTCAAATATTTAAACTTTTTCAAAATAACACAAAATGCAAAAGATATCTGACCAATAGCACGCTCACATGAAGAGCTATCAGGTTTCCATGTGAATGACCTTGACACACTTTCAAGGTTACATTTTGTCATGTGTGCCTAAATCTTAAATAGTCATCTTCTCAATTAACAAAAGGCATAGGTTGTTTGCATTTTGCCAGTTGCATTCTGGGATGCAGGGCTATACAATTGTTTACCTTAAAGACCGAAGTTTTACTCCCATGGGAGTAAAATTTGGGAGTGTTAGATTATAAACACAGGATGGGGGCCCCCCGAAGGCCTTATTGCTACTGATAAAAGCCACACCTGTTATGTAAGATTAGCCTCGGGTCATAGCTGTTGCGGTCAGACTGCTGTCTACTCACACAATGAAAACCGACTTTGTAAATAAAATTAACACTAAGGCAAAACTGATTTAATAATTAAACTCACATGTAGCATTATAACTGTAATACCAGTAATATTTACTGAACTGTGCATTTAAATATAGTATAGGAATAGATATATATATATTGAAATCATAGGAGATTTTGTTTTAAAACGAAACTATATATATGCGAATTCTTGAAATAAAAAGAAGAGAAAAAAATCAAGAAATGAGAAGTATTGGAGTAAATACCAAAACATCCTATGCATTTTTTCATAATATCTAGAAACGTCTATATACATCGCACATGGCAAACACAACAGCTTTCCAATCAGTAGCATCAACTCATAGCTCAAAAAACTGCCACGAAATAATAATGCCCCTTAAAAAGGTAAAACAAAATGTCATATACATACCGTGTTGATCAATGTCAATATGTAAATATATCGTCCAAACAATGGGGTCTCATACTTGTTTATGATTGGTGTTTTGTGAACTTGGTAAGGTTTTTTTATCCAGGTCAATTTACAAATAAAAACTTCATTTGAGTATTCCATATATTCCACGTGTACACAAATGTTCCCTTCTTGTACACTTTTTTGCCTTTGTGGTGTCTAGGTCCAATGTTAGGCACAAGCTGGGCCTCTGGTGGATTCCAAATACTGCTGTAGGGCCTATCTACATTTTCATTCCAGTGACGGACACCCATACGACTTCTCCGGATATATTTTCATTCCTGAATGCAATTCGTTTGTCTTGAAAAAGGTTCAAATCATTGTTGAATGACTCAACGTAGAATGTGTCCATGGCCATGATGTAGTCTTCTGGGTTCTGGTATATTGCACTTTTCTGGATTGCGTTGCGCAGAAAAAGCCTTTGGGTCCTGGATGATCATTTTTGATTGCTGGTGGTTGGGGTATGTCCTACAGTTTTATTTTTCTGAGCAACCAGTGTGCACATTTTGATATTGTTCAGACTTTGTTGGTGTTTTTGAGCATTTCCCTCACATTCTCTGATGCAATAATGCACATGAGTTCTTTCTTATTGATGACACTTTGTCAGAGAGTTGTGGGTGCAACATACATGTACACACCCTGGCATACATGGAGACACGACCTTAAATGATCTTAGCCGTTAATAGGAGGTCAAAGCTGATAAAACCAAACCAACATTATATACATCACTTCTCTTTATATTGTCATCATTTTGTTCATTTGCAAAGAATTGAAATGAAATAATGACTTTTATGAAGATAGAAAATGAAACGACTGAAAATATTTCGAGGTTTAACAGTATAAATATATTATCATCGATATTCAAATATAATATAAACGACGCCCGCTTATGAACTAGACCTTTTTAACACGTTGTACACACTAACAAAACCAATAAATTTCAGTAATACATTACCATCATAGATCGTCAACGAGCCAGCACTTATAAAAAATGGTAATATTTCAACTTCGACTCCACTGTCGCCGCTACAGATACCACTTTCGATTACCAAAGTGCAGTTCTGGTTTGGGCTAAAATAAACAAAAAGACATGTTATCAATATGCATTTCGGTCCAGGGTAATCGCTTCGGTCAAGATTAAAGCTCGATGACACACAGTTTTGGTGGTATTTCATGAAGTAAATAAACCCTATCCATATATCCTCCAATCGAGCCGCATTACAATGGATTTTTTTTTTTGATAACGAAGTTGCCACTTAGAGAAACGCCGTATATGGACTCTATTATTTAACATTTAAATAGCATAGCGTGGAAGGTAATCGGAGAAAATCGGAGAAAAACGTGTTCATAACGAAACTTTGATTTACATGGGAGGTGTCGTCGATGCATCAGAAGACGATTTCTATGCTGGAACAGATGGTCATATGTTTTCGTTTGTTTTAAACTCACCTGGCCCAAAGAGCCTAGTGAGCGAATGCTGTGGCCCGGCGTCAAGATTTTACTTAACTAATTTCTTAATAACAAAAAGACATAGGGTGAGATGAAACGCTACCAAGATTGTTTAAAAAAAAATGGCCATCCATATTCAAGGTCACATGGGTCACATATGTTGAAATTTTTAAACGACCTCTTCTGATTAACCAAAATGATCAGGGCGATGCTATTTATCCAGTGGTATGCTGGGATCAAAGGGTTACAAAGTGTAGTCAAATTAATTACCTTCACCCATAATTAAGGTCACAGGGGTAAAATATAATGAAATCTTTAAACGACATCTCCTGAATAATCAAAATGATCGGTGTGATGATATTTGGCCAGTAGCATGCTGGGATGAAGGGCTATCAGGTTTGTACAAATAAATTACCTTCAACTATACTCAATGTCACAAGGGTCAAATTTATTGAAATTTTAAACAACTTCTGAATAACCAAAAGGTCCAGGGTGAAAATATTAAGCTAGTAACATTCAGGCATGAGGGGCTACAAAGCTTGACCTTCACCAATATTCAAGGTCACAGGGGTCAAATATGTTCAAATATTTAAACTTTTTCAAAATAACACAAAATGCAAAAGATATCTGACCAATAGCACGCTCACATGAAGAGCTATCAGGTTTCCATGTGAATGACCTTGACACACTTTCAAGGTTACATTTTGTCATGTGTGCCTAAATCTTAAATAGTCATCTTCTCAATTAACAAAAGGCATAGGTTGTTTGCATTTTGCCAGTTGCATTCTGGGATGCAGGGCTATACAATTGTTTACCTTAAAGACCGAAGTTTTACTCCCATGGGAGTAAAATTTGGGAGTGTTAGATTATAAACACAGGATGGGGGCCCCCCGAAGGCCTTATTGCTACTGATAAAAGCCACACCTGTTATGTAAGATTAGCCTCGGGTCATAGCTGTTGCGGTCAGACTGCTGTCTACTCACACAATGAAAACCGACTTTGTAAATAAAATTAACACTAAGGCAAAACTGATTTAATAATTAAACTCACATGTAGCATTATAACTGTAATACCAGTAATATTTACTGAACTGTGCATTTAAATATAGTATAGGAATAGATATATATATATTGAAATCATAGGAGATTTTGTTTTAAAACGAAACTATATATATGCGAATTCTTGAAATAAAAAGAAGAGAAAAAAATCAAGAAATGAGAAGTATTGGAGTAAATACCAAAACATCCTATGCATTTTTTCATAATATCTAGAAACGTCTATATACATCGCACATGGCAAACACAACAGCTTTCCAATCAGTAGCATCAACTCATAGCTCAAAAAACTGCCACGAAATAATAATGCCCCTTAAAAAGGTAAAACAAAATGTCATATACATACCGTGTTGATCAATGTCAATATGTAAATATATCGTCCAAACAATGGGGTCTCATACTTGTTTATGATTGGTGTTTTGTGAACTTGGTAAGGTTTTTTTATCCAGGTCAATTTACAAATAAAAACTTCATTTGAGTATTCCATATATTCCACGTGTACACAAATGTTCCCTTCTTGTACACTTTTTTGCCTTTGTGGTGTCTAGGTCCAATGTTAGGCACAAGCTGGGCCTCTGGTGGATTCCAAATACTGCTGTAGGGCCTATCTACATTTTCATTCCAGTGACGGACACCCATACGACTTCTCCGGATATATTTTCATTCCTGAATGCAATTCGTTTGTCTTGAAAAAGGTTCAAATCATTGTTGAATGACTCAACGTAGAATGTGTCCATGGCCATGATGTAGTCTTCTGGGTTCTGGTATATTGCACTTTTCTGGATTGCGTTGCGCAGAAAAAGCCTTTGGGTCCTGGATGATCATTTTTGATTGCTGGTGGTTGGGGTATGTCCTACAGTTTTATTTTTCTGAGCAACCAGTGTGCACATTTTGATATTGTTCAGACTTTGTTGGTGTTTTTGAGCATTTCCCTCACATTCTCTGATGCAATAATGCACATGAGTTCTTTCTTATTGATGACACTTTGTCAGAGAGTTGTGGGTGCAACATACATGTACACACCCTGGCATACATGGAGACACGACCTTAAATGATCTTAGCCGTTAATAGGAGGTCAAAGCTGATAAAACCAAACCAACATTATATACATCACTTCTCTTTATATTGTCATCATTTTGTTCATTTGCAAAGAATTGAAATGAAATAATGACTTTTATGAAGATAGAAAATGAAACGACTGAAAATATTTCGAGGTTTAACAGTATAAATATATTATCATCGATATTCAAATATAATATAAACGACGCCCGCTTATGAACTAGACCTTTTTAACACGTTGTACACACTAACAAAACCAATAAATTTCAGTAATACATTACCATCATAGATCGTCAACGAGCCAGCACTTATAAAAAATGGTAATATTTCAACTTCGACTCCACTGTCGCCGCTACAGATACCACTTTCGATTACCAAAGTGCAGTTCTGGTTTGGGCTAAAATAAACAAAAAGACATGTTATCAATATGCATTTCGGTCCAGGGTAATCGCTTCGGTCAAGATTAAAGCTCGATGACACACAGTTTTGGTGGTATTTCATGAAGTAAATAAACCCTATCCATATATCCTCCAATCGAGCCGCATTACAATGGATTTTTTTTTTTGATAACGAAGTTGCCACTTAGAGAAACGCCGTATATGGACTCTATTATTTAACATTTAAATAGCATAGCGTGGAAGGTAATCGGAGAAAATCGGAGAAAAACGTGTTCATAACGAAACTTTGATTTACATGGGAGGTGTCGTCGATGCATCAGAAGACGATTTCTATGCTGGAACAGATGGTCATATGTTTTCGTTTGTTTTAAACTCACCTGGCCCAAAGAGCCTAGTGAGCGAATGCTGTGGCCCGGCGTCAAGATTTTACTTAACTAATTTCTTAATAACAAAAAGACATAGGGTGAGATGAAACGCTACCAAGATTGTTTAAAAAAAAATGGCCATCCATATTCAAGGTCACATGGGTCACATATGTTGAAATTTTTAAACGACCTCTTCTGATTAACCAAAATGATCAGGGCGATGCTATTTATCCAGTGGTATGCTGGGATCAAAGGGTTACAAAGTGTAGTCAAATTAANCGCGTCATTCCATGCTTGTACTGGGGACCAAATGATACTCCTTTTAATAGTATTTTTACCTGTTTACCAGCATGCCAAGTGTCATTCGATTTTTCTGTGGCATGGTTCTCCCGTATTTCTCATTAGCTTCAATGTGACAGTTTTTGCACAGATTTGAGTGTTCAGTGACAATCTTTGCCGGGAGCTTTACAGATGAAATAGCTGTAAGAAAAACTGGTTGACCAACATCCTCTCTGTCTGCTTGAATATAACCAGAAGTTGTAGAAATAGTCTGTTCTCTCATCTCTTCATCATTATCATCATCATCAAGTATTCTTTCACATTTCATCGTCTCTAGTAAGCTCTAATGTAAACCTCTTTGGTCTTCCAGGTTCCCTGTTCCTTCTTTTATAATTTGCCTTTTCACTTTTCTCTGCTCATCATTTATCATATCTGTTAGCCATTATGTGTCTACGGGTTGTTACAAAATGAATAGATTGGTCAAGAAGTGTAAGAACACTATCCCCATTTATCCAATAAAAGGTTAAATATCGTTGAGTTTAGTTTAGTTTAATATATTGAGATTAATTCGATTATCTTCCTGTCTTACATTCTCCTGGTGCATCCGGTATTAATTTTACACAGTTACATAATATGACATAATATGAAATGTCGACTAAGGATTAAACCTCCTGTTGATAAATACATTCTACAGAAAATACAAAGTACATCTTATGAAGAAGTAAACAAACATACACAGTAAACACAACATAGAATGCCTTGGCCTAACTCCATCCTAAACAGCTTCATTCAGCTACCGTTCCCTTTGCTATTTGAGATATCTTGACCATTCCATTGGACAGATCTCCTGCTAAATATTTTCTAAACCAGTACAAGGTAACATGGCCGACAGTGAAAGAAGACATCTTGTTTGTCTTTCGTTGACAAGAGAAGAAGAAGAAATAATAAAAGGGAATTTTACAGTGCATGGTTGGGATTTAATAAGGGCAACACAGCATGACCACATACCTGTGATACAAAATACAGATACAGGAAATAATAAAGATGATGAGGAAGCTGGACCAGTTCTGTTGACGCAAGGACAACCTGAGACAGCTTCAAGTGGTGACAGTGAAAATTTAGCTGCAAATTATCATGGACGGTTAAGCGATACCGAGGGTCCACATTGCTTCTGTGACAGATGTGTTGTTGATGAGACCAATAGACAATGGTGGTGTCCTGAAATGAACGCTTTTCCAAATAGAAGGAATAGACAATTACGAAATAAACTCTACAAAAGAATTTTGGCCATTTTGAGTATTAGAGGTGCATGGACAGATCAACGGTACTTTTTGAGAAAACAGAGGGCACTTGAACCAATTAGAAAGTATTATACCTGGCATAAAAAAATATAATGCCAACTTGTGTATTGAATGCAGTTAGAACGTGGTACCCCAAAACATCAACTGAGGAATATGTTCGACATTCACGGGGCAGTGATTAATCAATACTTTTTGTTTAGTTTTTGAAACCTCAACCTATGGATTACTTTGAAATATAACTTTGGAATTACAGAGGAAAGAAGGCAATTAATGCAAGTAAGTGAGCATGTTTAGTTGATTAACAACAAGAGCTGACCAGTGACCTCAGATAGCCTTACAACGTAGACAGTCAATGTCAGTTAGGAGCTGTTACTCCCCTCACTGTTTGAAATTGGAATAGCCTAAAAGTACCAAATTCAAATATTAAGAACAAAAATAATCTTGATTATTAAGAAAAGTGATTTCTTCAGAGTAGGATTTAATAAATAAGCACAATTTTATCTTCACACCTGCCATTTTTTGGGTAAAAATATGTGGTTATTCAGACTAAAAATTCAAAAAACGTAGAGGAAGTGAAACACTTCTGCTGCATTTTAAAGTTGTACATGATCTGCCATGCTTTCGTAAGGTCCACTATTTATAGGTGAGCTCGGTCTTTCATGTCCTTGTTTGTTTTTCGAGGTTACAGGGGTCAAATTTGTTTAAGTCTTTCAACAGGTTCTTTTGATTGACTTCGAATCAAGAACTGATGTTTTGCCTGTAGCTTTATTTCAGTCCACTTTTAAGATTACAACTGTGAGATAAATTCCAGGTGAGCGATGCAGGCCCATTGTGGGTCTTGTTATCGTATCTTATACCAATAGCGTTATTAGCTCGGCTGCCTTATTGGCAAGTCAGCTTATGCCATTGCGCAGCGTCCGTCGGTCAACTTTTCCTTTTAAAACACTATTAGTCCTGAACGGCTTAGTGGATTTTAACTACATTTGGTCTGGAGCATCCTTCGGCCGAGGCACTCAATTTTGTATAAACGTTTGGTGTGGCCCCCTTACGGGTAGAGGGGTCGGGTCCAATAGGGGAAAAGAGGTAAACCTTGACAAGTTTTCTTCTACCACAGGGATTAAGGGATTTTATTACAATTTGATCTATAGCATCCTATGGCAAATGAGACTCCATTTTGTATACACGATGGGTTTGGACCCCCTGGGGGCAGAGGGGCGGGTCCAATAGGAGAAATAGAGGTAAACCTTTGAAATCCTTCTTCTTTAGGGATAGGGGGGGGGGGGTATCCCAATTTGGTCTGAAGCATTCTTGGTCAAAAAGGACTCAATCTTGTATAAAAGTGGATGTGGCCCCTTTGGATGCAGAGGAGAGTGGCTAAAAAATGAAATTTGAGGTTTAAATATTTAAAAGCCCTCTCCTTCTGAACAATTTGAGGGATTTTATTCAAATTTGACCGGAAATAACCTTTGTCAAAGGGGACTAAAATTGATAATTAAAGGGTGTAAACCCTCTGGATGCAGAGTTGCGGGGCCAAATAGGGGAAGTTGAGGTTTAATTCTTCAAAACAAATTCTTCTGTGCCATTGGAGGATTTTAGTAATAAGACTAACTTCCCATAGTTTCATTATTATCCAGTTGAGCGATACAGGTCCTCTGGGCCTCTTGTCTTACTTGGTGTAGAAACTTAAGTCAAAACAAAGCATAATCGTTTTCTGTTAATAGCATGCTTTCTCATTGGTTAAGATTTAATGACGTATTACTCCTGCGTCATTTCTAGAAGTGATACCTGAACCATATGTCGATGATAACTTCAGTGTAGTTTTCTGAAGACGTCACATGATTCAGTGTTCCTGTGCATATGCTCGATGAATCGGCCCCTGAAAATACCGAAAAGAAAGTCTTTTGAATAAGACTGTCCAAATGTTTGCATATCTCTTCAAATTATAAGTAATCTTTAATGAATCATCTAATACAGCCAAACATGTAGAAACTAAACACCTGTATTAAACCACTTCCCGCCTATTGCGACCTTATTGATCACCCGTGGATTTTCTCTATCTAACTAACTTGTATTCAGTGCTCGGGCCCTTATTCATGAAGGCGTTCTCATGCAAAAGCATCGATTAGGTGTTCAAACCAACTTTCTTGTAACTCGCTTTAAACCATGACAAAACGATCAAAAAGTCAACCGTATTCAGCATTAAGTCTCTTCAATTGTTTCCAAATTATTGAGAAAATGAGATTTTTATTATCAAATTCTCAGATACGGGCTTTGGTGTCTAAACGTGATAAAAAAAAACTTAATTCTAAACGTCATTGGTTTTAATATTAGTCCACGGTGAAATTTCTCTATAGACGTTAGATAGAAAGGCAATGCGAATACCGGGTAACTGGAAAAAAGACTCATCGGTGTAACCTTTCATCAAAATGCGGGAAACGCTCACCCAGCCGTTTGGCCTTTCACCAACATACCCTGCCTCCGTACACATATACACATGCACGCTTAGTCCTTAACTTACCTTAATAAGCTGTTGATGGGACGTTAAACAATATAAAATCAAACCTAACCAAACATATTATGATGTACTTTTCTGAGGTTTAAATCACATTCAAATCTCGTTTTTATCTCGTGTAACGTGTGTTCAAGCAATTTAACAAATAAGGATTTATTCTAAAGCAAACTTGCATCCGAAAAATCTGTTTAAAAACTAGATGCCTATTGTTTGCAGAACTGTTTTGAAAATGGTTTTCTTGTACTTCACTCAATGCCAAATTTGACACCAGGTAAATCACTAAACGTTTTGCTTTGCGAGTTTATAAAATTCAATATTACGACAATAATATGCAACAAAGTGGAAAATAATAAATTGTTGATATTTAATTTTTTAGCTATGCCATACCGCAAAGTCCGTCGTCCGTCCGTCCGTCCGTCCGTCAACTTTTCCTTTAAAATGCAACTAGTCCTGAACAGCCCAGTAGATTTTGACTAAACTTGGTCTGGAGCATCCTTAGTCAAAGAGGACTGAATTTTATAGAAACAGTGGGTGTGGCCTCCCTGGGGGCAGAGGGACGGGGCCCGATAAGTTAAATAGGTAAAACATTTAAAATCCTTCTTCTACCGTAGGTATTACGGGATTTTTATCCTTATTAAGTCTGCAGTATCCTTTGGCCAAGGGGACTCAATTTTGTATTAACAGTGGGTGTGGCCCTCCTGGGGGTAGAGGGGCGGGGCCTAGTGGAGGTAAACCTTTGAAATGCTTTGTCTACCATAGGGATTAAGAGATTTCATATTTTGTCTGGAACATCGTTGATTTAAAGGGACTCAATTTTGTATAAACAGTGAGTGTGCCCCCCTGGGGCCAGAGGGGCAGGCCCAAAATGGACATATATCAAATTTGTTAAGCTTTTCTGTAGAAATGACAGGGTTTTGTCCAAATTTTGGATGTAGCACCCTTGGGTGAAGGGGAACCAATTTTGTATAATTCCGTTGGGATGAAGGTATTTTGACCAAACTTGAACAGAAGCATCCTATGGGGACGTGAAATCAATTTTGTATACCTGGTAGGTCCGAACCCTCTCCCTAGTGCCTGAGGGGTAATTTAGCAAATGCTTCTTCTTCTGTAGGAACGAGAGGATTTTTTTCCATATTCGGTCTAAAGCATCCTTTGGTGAAGGTGGCTCAATTTTGTATAAACGGTAGGTGTGACCCCTCTGGGAGCAGAGGGGCGGGGCCTAATAGGGGGAACATAGCAAATTTTTCAAAATCCTTCTACTGTACGAATTACAGGATTTTGTCCAAATTTTGTATGAAGCACCTTTGGGTGAAGGGGAACCAATTATACTAATTGGTAGGTCTGACCCCCACCCCATTGGGACAGACAGACGGGGCACAATAAGGGATATAGAGGAATAGCCTTATTCCTCCGATGGGATGAAAGTATTACTTAATTTGAACAGTAGCATCCTATGGGGAAGGGAAATCAATTTTGTATATAAATGGTGGGTCTGAATCCCCTGGGGGCAGAAGGGCGGTGCCAAATAGGGAAAATAGCCTTGAAATCCTTCTACGGAATGACAGGATTTTGCCAATACAGCTGTATTTGGTCTAAAGTATCATTGTGTGAAGGGGCCTAATGTAGGAATGCCAGGATTTTGTCCAATTGTATATACATATAACACCTGACTAATAATGTAATACATGTACACTACCAGTAACATCTGGTTATTTCAACTCAATTTTGCTAAACATTTCCAGGTGAGCGATACAGGCCCATTGGGCCTCTTGCTATTTGGTGTCAATGTAAGGTTTTTTGATTTTTGACCCCGCAAAATGTGAAAAATAACACATCAGATCTATTTTTTGATGACATCTTATAAGTAAATGATGCAATTAGCTAGTTTCGTCTCATTTTTTGGACATGTGAGCTTATGCCATGGCGCGTCGTCTGTCGTTTGCCCGTCCGTCAACGACGACTTCTGAAGATACGAAAGGCCTGAGGTAATGATATTTGGCCAGTAAATGCAAGTGACATTGACCTATACGTTCAAAGTCATGTCCGTCATGAGGCACGATCTTTATATGGCTTTAGCTGTTGCTAAAACGATAAACAATAACAACAAACAAAACCCTTCAACACACCTAACTCCTTTTCCCCCACCAGCATCGTGTGTTTGAGTTCAACAACATTTGCACATGAATATGCTCTTGCCCTACGTATATTCTCATGGCCACATGGATCAAATAACTGAAAACCTTCAACCGCTTCTGAATATCCAATCAACCTAACTTCACAATAGTTGGCCAACAACTCCATGTAACAAAACAAACAGGTGACGATACAGACCCTTTTTGGCCTCTTGTCTTTAACCTGTTATAGCTAATGCATTTTTTCTTTCTATATTTTCTCACTCGATAACCGTACAATGATCAAAAGCATATGAGGACCTACAAAATTGCACCTGGTCTCCCGATACAATGAACCAAAGCAAGCAAAAATAACGCATAGTGTAATTTATCAAGTGTTGCAAATACTGAACACGTTTTAAAGATGATACAAAAGTAAACATTACCGAAAATTAGCAATGTAAAAAGTTATACAAGACTCATCAAATACCTTCAACGATGGTATTTCTACTCCAATTTCCCGATATGTCCACTAACTATCAGTCTTAAAATTACCAGTTGATTAAAATCAGGTAAAGACCGTTGTCTAAGTACATTTTTCAAAATATGTCTAACCACTCTTTCACACTCGATCAATTCGTGTTAATAATACATGTTCGGTGTATTGTATCTGGATACCCGATGTGTACATACATTTTCTCTGTATCATTGTAAGTACGGCCCTATCACATACAAGTAGGCTTTCTAAGCAAGGTCTAAGTCGTTATCAGTGTGATTAGAAATACTTTTATGGGTCTGTAAAAGTAGAGATAATTCGGATACTTAACATTCGATATTTACGATTGACAGTTCACCACGTTTCGTCGTCCATCTTGTTGTTTTCACATTCGGAACCTAGTTACGTAACCGTAAGTGTTCCGAGTAGCTTTTGCGCGACTTTTGCACGTGCAAAGTCCCGTGTTTCTGTCTATATAAAGCGTTGGTTTTGTATAGTTCGTCAGCCAGAAGTAAAGTCTTCGTAAGACTGTCTGACTCACTCTTTCTCTCCTTCTTTCTAGGACTCGTTAGGTAAAAATGTAGAAGTTCCTACAGTACTCAAATATTTCGAGTGGAACTGTATGAAAGTGGAAGTAATTTTTCTATAAAAAAAGAGAAAAGACTCAATGATATTTTAAATTACAATTTAGTCAAACGTCGAGTAAGAGCGAAGCAAAGCAGAATCTTAATGTTAATATTTAAATCCAATATTTTCCTACCTTCAAATAACGTAATCAATACTATCCAAATGACCATCTTGAACAGAAGAGGAATAATTCCATTTTGATGAAGCATCTTTTAAACTACGATGCTCATATAATTCGTGAGTGTGATCGTATATATTTTCATCAACACTTTTATATATGAGGCTCTTAGGGATGCGTGAGACCCTTGAGGGGGAACCCTGTTCTCTGAATATCAGCTTTGGGACATCATAGTTTTATTCAAATTCCCTCAAACAAAGCATTACGTTATCAATATGAGTGCCCGGACAGCTGTTTTTTTCTCAGAGTTTCCAAATAACTATTTTTGATAAATATTTCAAGTATCACGTCCAGAAAGAAGAAAATATCACCAAATATTTGCAGAAAGAAACGACGGTGCCGCCATTGTGACCTTATGTCAATAAACTATATACATTTTGGGCTAATGATTAAACGTGGAAGGCCATGGGTTCTGTTCCCAGGCCAGACTATACTGAACTCCTTATAGTAGTAGTTATTACCCATTTTACGTTCACTATTTAGGGGAATAGCAACAACTGGTTCACCCATTGTCAGTATAATGTGACTGGATGGAATATTGTGCTGGCTGCCTTCGGCATATTGTTCTGTATTAGCAATTATCTCATTTATTCACTCATTTTGTTTTGACAGGAAACGATTTACATACTATTAATGCACTATTATTCCTGTGACACATTGTAATATTTTGGTGTATTGTAATAGAGACGAACTTATGTACCGGTGCTTTTAATTGGGTGATATTTGTTTATAAATGAGCATTACCTTCAAGTGTTAATAATTTAAAGCATTTCAGCAAAATATTCTAGAATTTAGCCTCGGTTGCAATACGTACGTTTTGAGGAAAACTGATAAAATTACGTTAGACTCAACTATGATTTTAATCGACACATATTGCCCCCCTCCTGTGGGGCCTTACATAGGGCTAAAACAACTTCTAGTCTTTCCCAGAGGTCAGCGACACTTCCTGTCACATTTAAAATGCAGAAATCTAGGCCATTAGCAGATGTCAGCGACAGTGTGAATTACTAGTACTTCAGCTTTCTACAATCCGTGCACGTGTATAATTGGATATAATTGACCTGAATTTTCTAGTACAATTCCACATAATCGGAATTCCACTCGGATGACTTGTTTTTGTGTGACAATAAAACAACCACTTGGGACATTCCGTTAAACTCTTGTTTGACGGGAAGCCTGAAGTGGTTTCAGAATTGTCGAGTGTGACAGCAACTTGAATTCTGCTATGAATGATAAACGAGGCTGCATTTTGAAACCCAAGTACTTTACACATTCTGTCATAATTAATTGTTTGATATGCGCTCTTAAAAATTAAAGATTAAAGAGTTAAGAGCGCTGCGGCATAGTTTATTGAGAGGCAAGTTAAACATACATATGCGTGTCAAGTACTTTAATTTTCCTGTTTTATATGTCTTAAATGTGCTTCAAATGTATAAAACGGCTTATACATTTACTGATAAATGTTTATTAAATATCACAATGCATTCGTTTAATCAACGTTTTTTATTGCAAGCTTGATCAACCCCTTTCCCAGTCTCGCCTTCTTACATTTGCGGGATATTTTGGTCTGTTGGAAATTAATAAATGCAAGCGCATGGTTATTCACAAATAAAAATATTGTTACATCAACGACGTATTAGAATTGAACAAAATACATACCAAAATGAAAAAGCCTGTGATGGTTATAAACAACTTGTATGAACCAGCTGAAAGCCCTTCAATATATTATGTTTACCTAAACAAGAACGATAATTGGTTTCTTTGTGACGGAGCCACTGGTTTGCTGAGTTTTTATTATACATACATTACTTCATCCATTTCTTCAGTTTATTAGTCCCCCACCGGGAATCGGAGGGGACTATAGTTTTGCGTCGTGTTCCTCCGTTCTTCCTTCCTTCCGTCCTTCCGCTATCTTGTCCGGGCTCTATCTCCTACACTACTTGTCACTGGATATTTATACTTGGGGTATGAGTTCACCTTGGTGAGGCGGTGTGATGTGAATCAAAAGTAGGTCATTCTGACCTACATTTTGACCTTTGACCTTCATCAAAGAAAAAGTGTGTCTGCGCTCTATCTCCTACACTACTAGTTACTTGAACCTCTTGCTTGGAGCATGGGTTCACTTGCATTGAAGACGAAGCATACATAGTGTCACCAGATGCAATTTAATAGTAAAACGGTATCACTAACCAGTTAAAATCAACCAGATTTTTTGCAATAGTAGCACTGACACTATTCCTTATTGAATATCTTGGGTCTATCAAACATTCATATATAGAATTAGTTCCTGCACGAATTTATCATCTGTGATTTTCACATTCGGTGGGGGACATTAATTCGCCGAATCGTCTTGTTTACAGTACACGTTATACATATGTACAGTACATGGATCCAGCCCTCGTACTACGATTACATGCTCACACTTTGGCGTACTTTACCAGAATCCTCTCGCCAGGCTACACACAATCATACTAACCTTTGTCTACTCCCCCGTTTTGGTCACACCCAACACCTGTCAATTCACAAAAGCTCGCTCCCTCACTCTCAGACGGCATGATTGTTAGAGGCAACTAAGGAGGAAGACACCTGCATAATTTGGGATTCACTTTAAGGTCCTCTGCTTGGGGACACAAAACCGAGCAAATGAAATCTGCTACACCCATTGCAGAATTTGAGAACTTTATATTTCTCTCTAATCAAACTACCTTTAATTTCCTAGCGCCTTCCTTGACAACACTTCACTTTTGACTTTAATGTTGAACGTACGCCTAGGTGAGGAAGGCAATGGTTTTGTTCCCAGACTGGGACATACCAAAGTCCTTACAAATGGTAGTTTGTTCCCTGCTTAACGTTCAGCAATTAGGGAAATGGCAATAAGTGGTTCACCTGCTGGTGGTATAATGTGGCCGGGGGAATGCTGGGCTGAGTGCCTTCGGCATGGTATTTCAGTAAATTAGTCGATACATGCAAAGGGTAACAGCAGGTGCATTCTTTTCCCGATCCCTGACTTGCAGTGTTGTAGATCACAGGTGTTTTGTACCGTCACGTTAGACAACTCTTACACAAGCTACTTGTACAATGTTCAAGGTTGATTTACATTGATTGGTGACAAGTTTTACAATATATGTTTCATTCTTGTTCTAACACCACTTTTCCACGTAAGGATTTTAATTGTAACGCCGTTTCGCGGAATTAAAATAAAAACAGTTAAAATATCAATCATTGAAATTTTAATCAAGTTTTACACAAGGTGTTATAAATGAACATTTTCCAATAAAATCTGTTTAAGTTAAATTGATAGGTAAGAACATTAATTTCATAACCTTGAAGATGAGTCCGGGAAAAGCAGGATCGGATCGCCCACTTAAATTCGTTCAGAACTTATGTACATTCTGAAAATTAAAACAAAGCCATGTTATCCATTGGTATAATTACGAATCAGATCATGTCTATCAATTACATTTTAAATAAGGGAAATGGTTTTAAAATCGAAAATTAAATTAAAGATCCCTGTCCCACTACGTAATGTTTTTACTTAATATATACTTACCTCCCCTGCAGTTGGGACGTAGCTGTAGCACAGTTAGGCTTGAACATATCAATCTAAAGCCATGGGTTCGAATCCCGGTCAACACAAATTAATTGTTTTAGTCTTAAAACATTGTTGTTGTTAACATTTTATTCATTTCACCTTTATTATCTTTTTCATAAAAAGTCTCGCGATGTATGGTTTTCTTTTCAAAAATATTTTTAAAAGCTAGTCATGCCGGAAAATCTATTTTTAATGCGTAGTTATAGTCTGTGCCAGTGCTAGGGAAACCCTACTAACGAAGATCACTTTATAAATAGCACAATTAAGATTGACAATGATATCAGGTTGGTAAATCACTTCAACTACACTGTTCCACACAATAAATTTATCGAGAATTCCGAATATCTGCCCAAGATTTTATACATACTGTGAAAGGTGTGAGTGATCTGATTTGAAACATAATATACACCCTATTATCTGAGGACGAGAGCAGTGGAGATGTCCAGTGTCCTCATCTGGCTTTTGTTTAGTAAGGAGATTTGCAGAGTACTGACAAGCTATGGCACCTCGTTTCAGATAAGGCTATGTATTCTGTAGCTGGTATGGGGGACTTAAAATGTGGTAATTAAGATAAACGAGTTTCTATGTAGGACCGACCCTATAAGGGGAAGGCTTTGTATCCTTTGTTTAATTTGAGTTTGGACACAGAATATACACATTTCATTGTACGGTTATGTGTTTCTGACACTCTCTGTACTGGACCATATTAACTGTTAATGATTGTCGCTCTATTGAACCCCGTGACAACTCCATAAAAATTAATGATTTGAAACAAATAATCTATATTGATATCTGATCATTTTCGCTATGAGATTATGTTAAAGGAGACAGTGTAGAAATCAACAATAGACCTGATCTATCCCACTTCATGTGTATAGGAGAAGGCGACTAATGGGCCCCTGCAGAATCGGGGGTTTTCCTCCATGTATTCTACAAGGGGACATGGAAGAGGCCAAAATTGATATACTGTCCCCGTTGCAACACTTCGGATCTTGTTAGTTTCCAATTTTTCCTGTCGACTTTCTTTCCTATCTTTTTATATTTCACGCGGTGTCTCCCTAGGCCCCCGTCCTCATATGAGCCTGGCTGTTGCGAGAACGTTAAACCAAAAACAAACAAACCAAATAGTAAGAGCGATAGCATGAAAATCTTATTATTGTTGTCTGGCCCCAAATGACGAATTCAGTAATAAACTGAGTTATTATTTTTTTCTTTTCAATTTTACCGACGGTTCGGAGAGTTTACTCAGACTTACCTTTATCTAGTGTCGTTGAGCGCTCAGTCATGCCAGCGTGATTGTAGATCTGTACACTATAGAGTCCATAGTCCTTGTCGTTAGGTGACGTCACTCTCAGTTTCGTTTTGGTTCCAGTTTTCGCAACCGTTTCTCCTTTGAACAGTATCTCGATGTCAATATCCTCGTTGACAATAATGTATTTTGACGAATCATTGGTTATTTCGTTATCTTGTTTCAGCCACCTGATG